GTTCCTCTAAGTCTTCCTACCAATATGACCAAGTTGCGAAAACAAGGTCAAACAACTTTTATACAACTAAAGAAGACTTCGACCATATAAAGGCCACATCATCTTGGTCTACATATCTTCAAATAGTTGATATTTGTCTATCAGGACAAATTCTAGAACAGTGTATTATAGTATCAAATGGCATTGCGTAACTTTGTAGCAAATAATATGTATATATACCAGGCTAATTTATGGCCGATCGGATTACTCGAATTATTTTTGAAGGGAATTCACTCCATGTACACCTTTAGTAAATATGTTCAAAATCGGAAGGATGAAGATAACTCCTCATTTTCCTGTTTAATAATTGTGATGAAATGTGGAAGGACACTCACATTCGGTGAATCGCTCTTTGGGAGAGAATGCCATATCATCATCGGTCAAATCTGCAGTAAGAAAGGGGAGGCGACCGGCCTTAAGTGCGCGACTTCTTGAAAGTCCGATTCGAGATATTCGGGAAGTAGCAGAGCCAAAGTCATCCTTGTAGTGCTCCGGCAAATCTTTTCCGTAGGCCATTATGCAATTAAGTCGTTGCTTCTCCAATTCTCTAGGCATGGATTTGGCTATGATAATAAAGGTGATAATGAGGACAAGATATGAAAAGAGGCTGGGCTTATAATAACACATAAATAATTAAATTTCGTTGGAACTTTCATTTCACATGAAACGTTATCTGACATAATCGGAAACCAAAATAGAATTGCTTTAGACTTACTACCAGTGACAAGTACACATTAATCATTTTGAAATCTATATGAATACATTTTAAGGCGTCATCTTAGAAATAGCAGACGTCTTCAGAGAGAAAAACTATTTAGGAATTGGGTTTATCTCATTTTCGGATCTCAGGTAATATTCCATTTTGCGTAGTTTACCATTGTTTTAACGTGATATTCAAAATAAGGACAGTATAATAGCTAAATATAATTAATAATTTGGCGTTTTTGTGGGAAGTGATTACCAGTAGATAAAATTCATATCTAGTGAAGCTTATTAAAATTAAAACCCATTATTCATGCAACTTTAGATAACCAACTGAATCAAAAAAATTGGTCAAAAATAATCGTATTAATTTAATTTAAAAAGAGCAAATAAGCAATTAACTAGACTGTTGACTAAAATTTGTACAAGTACATCCATGTGAATTTACCAAAAAACAAACAATATTGTCCAATAGGGTTAAATAAATACAAAATAAGATAGATATAACAGAAGAAAGCAAAAGTAAGAGTTCTAAAAAAGGCGTTATATAAAACGAATGAATATTCTTCTAGTAGGTTGGCTTGTAGTGCTAAACGTAGAACTACTGCATAAAAGGTATTTAGTCGAAAATTGCAACCTAATAATAATTGTATTTAGAATGTTTTGAAGAAGAATGGAAAGGGATCTGCCTAGGCATTTTAGAGATTAAAAAGTATATATTATAAAATTTAACAAAATTTTTTTCATCCAACATCAAAAAACGATTTAAGCGACGTTACTTTGCACAGATCTAAATTGCTTCCTTTCATATGCCCCATTTTTTTCGATACATTCTTTAGAACGAAGTCTCATATGTCTGATCACATTTTTCTTGGATGAACAAAGTCTTTCGTTCGTCCTACGATCAGGGATAAACGATGGTGGCAGGCTTTTCCCTCCTAGAAATAGGTCATAAAATAGGCTTATTACTTGTCATAATTCCATTAAGTTGTCTCATTTGTAAATTAGTAAGTCTTGATTCTTCCATCATCACTTTATAATATTAATTAAATTAAAAAAGTACGTTTGAGTAGTGTCTTTGTATTTTCGCTGTATTCTACCTGTTTTGGTTGCCAGAAACCTTCAGAAGTAAAGCTTTCCATTATCGACATAAGCAAGGAGAGATTGAATGTATTCAACAACAGTGTTGTCAATTTGTTATAAATATAAACAATATATTTAATTTATCATATATTATTTAAACTATATCTAAAGGTTTTTTATATTTTTTTATAAAAAATTTAATATAATTTGAAGCTGAGCAAGTTTAAATGCTTAACACACTTTACAAACAGGCCGAGGCCAATTTTCGCCGTATCTATGGTACTGGTGAACTTTTGGGTGTCTTTGCTCCCGGGCGGGTTAATATTATCGGTGAGCATACGGATTACAATGGAGGATTTGTTCTTCCCATGGTAAATATTATTTTGTAATGACAATAGGCAACCCCTTTGGCGACTGTCGTTGTGGCTGCCGTAACAGACGATGACGAGTTTAATATTACCTCTTTTGCAAAGGGCCTTACTGATAATTGTATAAGTTTTACCATGTCTGAATTAATAAAACTACCTCAGCAAGATCCCAAGGCTTGGGGAAACTATATTAAAGGGACAATTTCCTTATTTCATCGTAATTAAGTCTTATCCATCATACTTTGTGTGCAGAACAAACGGGATTTATACCACCTAGCTTTAAAGCAGTAATAGAAACTAATATACCACTGGGTGGTGGTCTATCTAGCTCAGCTGCGTTGGAGGTGTCTTTTTATTTATTATTACAGAAATTAACTGGAGTCTCATGCGACCAAGTGAGCCCATTTTTTCGCCCTTTTCATGAATTGCATATGTCTTC